CGTCCGCCGTGAGTTCTAAGCCACCGGATCTGGGATGTGAACCGTGGTCGACTATGTGGGAGTCCAGCGACATAGTCATTACACCAACTGCTGGTTCCTGTAAATCTGTCATTTTAACTGAATTCCTTAACAAAGAGATTTAATTGACTTGCTCTTTCTTTTTTGCTGGGAAAAGGAATTTCTTTTCTGGGCACCCATATGAACAGCACTCATCGCATTGGTTAATTATGTGTTTACATCACCATCTTTCTTCACACTGTCATCTTCTTGAAGATAGGTCTTATCTTCTCCTACACTGTTACATCTCTAGATTTCTAAATCAAATATTTACCTAATGAGCTATTATTTTTAAAAATTGATAGTTGGGGCCTGGCAGGTATTGTGGTGATTAAGGTGCTGAGCTCCCACACTTTTAAGTTTTTTTTTTTGGAGAGGTTTTTGCTATAGGGCGCATGCGCTCGCCAGACAGACAGAGAGAGACAGAGACAGAAAGTAAGAAATCACCCCCCAGGGGGAATGGCCATGCCGCAGTCCCTTCTCCTCCATTCTCCTCTCGCGATCTTGGGCACACATGCACACGCGCCTGGTGTGAGTTCAAGCCATCGGGTCCGGGTCTCGAAATGTGGTCGACTATGTGGGAGTCCAGCGACATAGCCATTATGCTAACTGCTGGCCCCTGGACTCCCACACTTTTTGACTGCAGTTTGAGTCCCAGACTTGGCAGTTTGTTTCTCACTTTCCATTTCTCTCTGGTCAAATTAAAAATAAATAAATAAATATTTAAACAAACAAAAACTGATACTTGCCTGGGTTAAGAAAGAGAGGCCTGGGGACCAGCAGTTAGTGTAATGGCTATGCCGCTGGACTCCCATGTAGCCGACCGCGGTTCACATCCTGGACCCGGTGGCTTAAAACTCATGCCAGGCGCATGTGGATGCATGCTCCAGATCCCAAGAGGAGAATGGAGGAGAAGGGATTGCTGCGTGGCAACCCCCCCAGGGGGCGTAATTTCTTGCTTTCTGTCTCTCTGTATCTCTCTGTCTGTTTGGTGAGCGCACATGCCCTATAGCAAAAACCTCTAGAAAAAAATAAATAAAAAGAAAGAGAGGCCTGTGGGTAATGGGTAGGTAGACAGATTTTTGTTAATGTATTGAAGCTCATAATAGTAGAACATATTGATCTTTCACACAATAGCTTCTAGTGTTGCATTGTCTAAAGAAGGTTTGGAGATTAAAACATTTAAAAAGGAAAAGGCTAATGTATAAAGAAGACAGGTGTTCCAAGACTTTAGGAGGATGAGTTCAGATGTCAGCATTGCAAAAGTCACGTATAAAGTTATTTATTTATTTATTTATTTTTTGTGCTTTTGCCATAGGGTGCATGCACTTGCTGGAAAGAGAAAGAGAGACAGTGAGAGAAAGTGAGAAATCATCCTGTGTGTGTGTGTGGGGGGGGGCATGGCCATGCCGCTGTCCTCTCTTCCATTCTCCTCCTGGGATTTTGGGCACTCAGGCACAGGTCCTGGGTACCATTTTCAAGGTAACAGGTCTAGGACTGGAATTGTAGTTGGCCATATGGGAGTATGATGCCTTTAACCATCATCCACTTTTTGGACCTAGAAAGTTCTTTCTACCATATAACCCAGCAATTCTATTCCTGGATATCTACCCAAAGGATGAAAATGCACTCAGTGAGAAAAACGTACACATCCATGTTTATTGTGGCATTGTTCACAATTGCTAAGATGTTCAACCCAAATGTCCATGAACAGATAAATGGGTTGAAAAGATGTGACACATATACACTACATAATACTGTTTAGTCAAAACAAAAACAAAAACAAAATAACAAAAAATCAAACAATGAGACCCTACCATTTAATGGAAGGGAGTGGAATATAGGAAATGCACTGCTAACCAAACCAAGTCAGATTTTGAAGAGACGCCTTGTATGTCTCCACTCAATATATACTGAAAGTAGGCACACTGTGGCAGAAACTGAAAGACTGCATGGTATAAAGGCATAGAGAGCAACTGTGACACCAGAGACAGTGTGGGATGGTGGGAAATGGGGGAGGGTGAGGATGAAGGAATCAAGGGGAAAAAGAAAGAAGCAAAGCAAAACATTTAAGGGACACTAAAATGGAAAATTATCTGTTGATGATAATATGTATGGTAATATCTTTGATTGAACCAATATACAATGTATTCAGGATGGGAAAATTCCTTTGGCATGCTGTCATGATACACAATGATTGAATGTAAAATAATAGTAATAGTAATAAATAAAAATAAGAAAAGTAAAAATAAATTGGCAACAACAAATATATTTTTAACTTAAGATTTTTTCCCCCTAAGCTTGATTAAGATATCCTTGGAAAATTAAAATTGTATATATTTTTGGAGTGCAATGTGACATTTTGACCTATGTATAAGGAAAAGTTGTCTTTTGCGAGAGAAGAAATAATGTGAGATAAATTTTCAAAGCTGCATTGATTTGGAGGACTAGAAGAGACAGAGTGACCGTGCTCTTGTAGCATTGGAGGTGGTGGTTGCTGCGTGCTCACTCAGGGATGAGATAATTATGGAAGAGTCGGCCACTTGTCAGTTGCTTCACAATTCCTTCTTGTGTCCAAATTTCATTCTCTAAATTCAGATGTGATCATGTAAGTTTGTTTAATAATCTTTTGAATCAATATTGTTGATTCGATGGTTTGGTATTAGCTAATATAACATGCAATCTTGACTTAGTGTAATAGCGAATGGTAATATAACCCTTTTTATAATCTAAGGACCTAAGACACCTTTAAGGCCACTTTTCTCCTTCCCCACATTCTTAGTTTTCTCTGTATTTTATACAAACTATTTACTGAAGTACACTATAATTAAAAAACCCACAGAAATAATAAATGTACAGTTTAATGAAGTTTCACAAAAGGAATATAATCATGTAACTAAGATCTGAGTTGAAAACCAGAATATTACCTGAGCCCAAAAGTATCCTAATACCCCTTTAATTCTCTGCCCGATCTCTCTCCTCAACAGCCAGAGTGACTTCTGAGATGGTAGATTTGTTTACCTTTTAAAATGTTTTGTAATGGACTTATATAGTATTTACTCTTTCATGACTGACTTTCAAAATACATACTGTTTGTGAGACTTTATATTACATGGCAGTGTAATTAAGACATTCTCATTGTCATATGCTATACAATACTATATCTATTATTGTATCTATTCTCTTTTCAGTGAATGCTTTGGTATTATGAACATCTCCAGATTGGGTGGGGGTCTTATAAATAGTGCTGCTATGCACATTCTATTATGTATTTTTTGTTGACCGTATGAGTATATTTCTAGAATGTATATACCAAGGGAGGATAAAGTTGCACAGCAGAATGTACCTACACACGCTAACTTTGGGAGATATATCTGAATGTTGGCTGTACCAATTTACACCCCTACCAGCCCATGTATGAGCATTCTAGTTCTTTATTACCATTGCCAATATTTAGTATTTTCTGTTTTAATTTTTACCATTCTGGTGTGTTTAATTTGCATTTCCCTGATGATCATTTATTAATAGATATCTTCTTTTGTGAATTGCCTATGTAAGGCTTTTTGTTCATTTTTATTTTTCTGTTAGGTTGTCTTCCTTTCGTCTGTGGATTTGCAGGTATTGTTCATATACTTTGGGATTGTATAGTATATTCTTATTTTTACCAGACTTATTTTTGCTCAAAGTGTGATTGTGCAATGCATCCATACTTTGCAAGTAGAACTGTAAGACAACCATACTCAGTTATATAGTCAGTATTTCATTGTGTGATTATGTGCAGGTGGTCAATCAATGGTTAACTGGTATTTGGGTAGTTGACAGATAACTTGAATAATACTGCTATGAACACTTTTACTCTTTTATTTTTTTTTTAAAGTTCACATATGTATACATTTCTGTTAGACTCTTAGGTGTGGAATTGCTCAATTATAAGGAATACATGTATTCAACTTTATTAGTTGCTACTAATCAGTTCTCCAAAGTGCGCTCAATTATTCTCATGATGCCAGTGAATGAAATTTCCAGATGCTCCTAATAATCACAAGTACTTGATATTATCTGTTTTACTTATTATTTCATTTTAGTGACTAGTCGTGGGCATGTTGTGATATTGCATTGGGCTTTTATTTGCCTTTTCTTTCTTTTTTCTTTCCCTTTTTTTTTTTTTTAAGAGGTTTTTGCTATTGGGAGCATACATTTGCCAGAAGGACAGAGAGACAGAGAGATAGAAAGTGAAAAATCAGTCCCCGGGGGGATGGCCACATCGCAATACCTTCTCCTCCAGCATCCTCTCGGGATCTTGGGCACACACGCACATGTGGCTGGTATGCATTTAAGCCACTGGGTCCGGGACTCAAACTGCAGTCTACTACATGGGAATCCAGAGATGTAGCCATTACGCCATCTGCTGGTCCCTGTTATTTGTCTTTTCTTGATTGACAACAGAAATAGAACAGTTTTCCATACATTATGGCTAATTGAATATTCTCTTTTTTGAAATTCTATTTCAAGTCTTTTGCACATTTTTTTCTATTAATTCGTTTTCTTATTTATTTGTGGGATTTGTTTTTATGTTTTGGATGCAAATATTTTATCAACTGTAACTACTGCTCCAAACATGTCACTTGCTTTTTTATTGTCTGAATTTTATCTTTTCGTGAACAGAAAAACTTTTCAGTATAAATATAATCCAATTCATCACATTTTTTCTCCTTTGTGGTTAGCATGTTTATACCCTTAAAAAATTTAATATACTTAAAAAAAACCCTCTGCTTAGTCTGTACTCATGAATTTGTTCAATTATGTTTTCTTCTAAAAAGCTTTATTGCAACTTTAAAATATATAATTCGTTTGGAATAGATGATTGAGAATGCTGTGTACTAGAGGTCATGATTTTACTTTTATCTAGTATGGTTACTGAATTGCTCTGCTTTTTTTTTTTTTTTTGTAGGTTGGAAAGTAAATGATAGAGTAATACTTTCTATTCAGTCATCTCCCCAGCCCATTTCGACATCTCAAAGTGGGACAGGTATGCTGCCCTGAACTGAACTCAACACTTAGGAATCATTTATTGTAGAGTCCAGCTTTACCTTCTGCTCAGCAGCATCGTAAATCAGATGATAGTATTTGTGTGGATCTCTATCTAGAATCCCTTTAATGTTTCATTGATTATTTGTTTATTCCTATACTAATAGCATAGTGCTTTATTATTATAGCTATAAATATAATACAATAAGTCTTGGGTGAGTCTTCTAGTTTTATTCTTTTTCAAGACTGTCTTAATTGTTCTTTGACTATTGTATTTCCATATAATTTCTACAATTCTTCAATTTGTTTAAAAAATCAGGTAAAATTTTGTTTGAGATTGTATCAAGTAATAGCTTAGTTTGGAAGAATTGATCTGTTTACAATAACAGATCTCTTAATAAAGATAGCATATCCTATTCTCACTGGACTTATTCCTTAGTTGTATATTTAAATTTTTATTATAATATACATATGTATAATTTTCTATTTATTTATTGCTAGTAAATACAATTGAATTTAATTTAGTAGAGCGCAACTCAAATTAAATAGATGTGGCATTCATTGACTTCACTAAATTCACTTACTAGTTCCATTGTATTGTCTGTAGATCATGTTGGATTTTCTATATAAACAATTATACCATCTGCAAATAATGGATTTTTTGTTTCTCTTTTAATTTTTATTCCCATTTCCACTCTTCTTGTCTTATTGTATTGTCTAAGACCTCTGGGACAGATAGTCAGTGACAGTAGGCATTCTTTTTGCATGCCTGATCTTAGAAAGCTTTCATGATTTCACCATATTGATGATAATTTTAATTATAGATTTTTTTGAGAGGTTTTTGCTATAGGGTGTGTGCGCTCGCCAGAAAGACAGAGAGAGACAGAGAGACAGAAAGTGAGAAATCACCCCCCCAGAAGGGATGGCCACGCCGCAATCCTTTCTCCATTCTCCTCTCAGGATTTTGGGTACGCACACACACGTGCCTGGCATGAGTTTAAGCCACTGGGTTCGAAACTCTAACCATGGTTGACTACATGGGAGCTAGCGACATAGTCATTACGCCAACTGCTGGTCCCAATGATAAATTTTTTGATATGGATATTATTCATTAGGATAAGAAAGTTTCCTTCTATTTTTGGTTTCTGAAGAAATTTTTTCATGAGTTGATGTTGAATCTTGGTAAAATGCTTTTGCTTGATCTATTTTTTTCTGGATGATATTTCTTTTCTCCTTTGTGTTTTTATAGTAGATTACTAAGGATAAAATTGGAGTGTTAGCTTACACTTGCATAGCTTGCATATCATTCAAGATGTATTTTCTTTTTTATATATCTCTACATTCCTTTTACTAGTGTTTTGTTCAAGATATTTGCATCTGTGTTTATGAGAAGAACTGGTTTAATTTCCTTTCTGGTAATGTGATGATCTTATTTCAAAATCAAGGTTACGTTGGCCTCATAAAAATTTTATAAAGAGTTTTCTTCCAAAGAAATGGAAGAAAACTCTTTATAATGTCCCTTACTTCAGTTACTTTCCTAACTCATTCTAAGCATTCAGAAATATAAGCAATTTTTATTTCTTATGTTAATACATGTTTTGGTTTGTATGCATGATCATACCTGAGTGGTAATTTTTATAGTAAAATGTATTGATATAGGTTTGTTCTTATTTTTGTTGCATTTTACATTGTAATTTCTGGTTTTTTTTTTCTGACTACTTGTTTGCTATAGGTCCATGCACTTACTGGAGAGAGAGAGAGAGAGAGAGAGGGAGGGAGAGAGAGAGAAGGGGGAGAGAGAGAGAGAGAGAGAGAGAGAGAGAGAGAGAGAAAGTAAGGGAATCACCCCCCAGGGGTGATGGGCACATTCTTCTCTCTGGATTTTTGGGCATGCATGTACATGTACAAGATGTTTTTCAAGCTGCTGGGTCCAGGACTTGTATGTACATGTACAAGGTGTTTTTCAAGCTGCTGGGTCCAGGACTTGAGATGAAGAGTCAGTAATATGCATACTAGCCACCTTACCATAGGTAGCTGCCTGTGCCTGGTTGTTAAAGGTACTGGATCTCGCATGGCAGACAGCACAATTTAAGGTCCAGACTCTGTGGCTTGAAAAACACCCAGGGTACATGTGCACATATGCCCCAAATCCTAAAAATAAGGAGGAATGGAGGAAAGGGGATTGTGGCATGACCATTTGTGGGGAGCTACATCCCCCCTCGCCCTCTTTCTCTTCTGAGTACACGTGTCCTCTGCCAAATTAAAAAAAGTTTTTAAAATTATCTTTTGTTGTCTGGCTGCATTTTGACAGTTGTCATGAATGTGTATTTTTGTTCTCATCATTTAAAATAGCAGTAATTTTTTTGTTTTAAAATGTGTAATAGCAAATATTAACACTGTAAAATAGAATGCTCTAGGTTGATTGTATCTGTGCTGTTCACTGCAGTAGCTGCTCGCCATGTGTTGGCTGCTGAGCATTTGAAATGTGGCAAGTATGACTGAGAAACTGAATTTTAAATTTTATTTCATTTGAATTAATGTAAATTAAAATTCATATAGCTGGTGGCTACTTATACAGCACAGAACTATGGTATACTCAGTACTGTATTTTATTAAACAATATTTATCAACTCCTCTTTCTGGGTATACTTCCTTTCTTCCTTTTCCCTGATTTTTTCTCTCCTCCACTTTCTAATTTTTTTTTTGAGAGTTTTTTTTGCTATGGGGTGCATGCACTCACCAGAAAGACAGAGACAGAAAGAGAGACAGAAAGCAAGAAATCACCCCCCAGGGGGAATGGTCTGCTGCAATCCCTTCTCTTCCATTCTCCTCTTGGGATCTTTTTTTTTTTTTTGAGAGAGATTTTCGCTATAGGGCGCGTGTGCTCGCCAGACAGACAGACAGAGACATAGAGACAGAAAGCGAGAAATCACCCCCCAAAGGGGATGGTCACGCCACAATCCCTTCTCCTCCATTCTCCTCTCGGGATCTTGGGCACGCACGCACACGCGCCCGGCGTGAGTTTCAAGCCACCCGGTCTGGGATGCAAACTGCGGTTGACCACATGGGAGCCCAGCAACATAGCCGTTACGCTCACTGCTGGTCCCGTGAATGCACGCACACACGCCTGGCGTGAGTTTAAGCCACTGGGTCCGGGACTCAAACTGTGTTAGACTACATGGGAGTCCAACAACATAGCCATTATGCCAACCGCTCGTCCCTCATTTTCTAATTTTACCTGATGTTTTTCTTGGTCATTTTGGTATTCTTTTTATTCATTTAAATAGACCTATATATTGATATGGTGGCAACTAGTGCTCTTTGCTGTATATTCTAGCTCTTTCATTCTGGGTACAAAATGAGATGATCATTCTTTTATTTATTTATTTATTTATTTTTTGAGAGATTTTTCACTGTAGGGCGCGTGCGCTCGCCAGACAGAGAGAGACACAGAGACAGAAAGCGAGAAATCACCCCCCAGGGGGGATGGTCACGCCACAATCCCTTCTCCTCCATTCTCCTCTCGGGATCTTGGGCACGCACGCACACGCGCCCGGCGTGAGTTTCAAGCCACCGGGTCCGGGACACGAACCGCGGTTGACTACGTGGGAGTCCAGCGACATAGCCATTACGCTAACTGCTGGTTCCCGAGATGATCATTCTTGAAGTGTTTGTATTTGAGTGAATCCCTGTGATGAATTCTGGCCAAGGAATTGTAAATAGAAGTGACATTTCCAATATAAAACCCTAATCTTCTGTTGTGTTTCAGTTTGTGGTTCTCTGTCAGTCTGTGTTGGGTTGAAGATAATGTAGAAAGAGCCACAATACACCCATAAGAATCATTTAGCATGAATGTTAAATAAACTTAGTGTTAAGTCACTGATATTTGGGTATTGGTTGTCTTGTAACTTGGACATTGATATGCACTACTAATTGATTGTGCAGCATAAAATCTGTTGGCATATCTATAAAAGATATCAACCCACTTGCCATGCTGTCGATCTTATCTTCTTTCTCTTTTCCAAATGTTTGTTAGTTATAGTATTTTAAGTATCAATTATGTTGGTAAAAGGTTTGTTCTCTTCTGTAATCATGATCTTTGCAGTTGTCTTATTCTTAGTTTTACAATTAAATGAATGCATTTTGCCACCATTGCTTAATTTATATTTTGGTTAAAAGAGACATAGAAAGATTCTCAGTCAGAAAGCAATGAAGCATAAGAATGATTTCATTCCTTGCTATGTAGTGGTGATAATAAAAGTTGGTAAGAATTAAGCATTAAAAATCAGGAAGCCAAGGATATAAAACATAGCAGTATTTATCTAGTACTTCTCACTTAAGAGGATAACCTACTAATATTTTCAAGATATTCTCTTGGGGCCAGCATGTAGTGTGGAGTTAAAAGCAGCTGGATCCTACATGGCTCACTGTACAGCTTGAGTCCTGGACCTGGTAGCTTGAGAATCATGTTGGACACATGTGTGTGTGTGCCCAAAGAATCTAAGAGGAGAATGGGAAAGAAGAGATGACTGGCAGTGTGGTCATCCCTTCTGGGGGATGATTTCACACACACTCTCTCTCTTTCTCTTTTTCTTTCTCTGTGTTTCTCTCCAGCATGCCCATGTGCCCTATAACAAACTTGGAAAACAAAACAAAACAAAATAGAAAATTATCAGATAATTGTATTTTTTTGTATTAAATGTCGCACTTATACATAAAAGACAGTTTGGCTAGATATAAAAATCTTGTCCCCTTCCTTTGTTCTGCAAAGGTGTGTAAGTGTTTTCCTAAGTTATCTAGCTTTCAGTGTTGCTGTGAATTGATATGAAATTCCTACTTGATTTTTTTGCTTGATTAGTATCCCAATTTTCTCTTCTCAATGTCCAGAAAATGCTTGCTTTATTTTTGAAGTCAGTCATTTTACTCATGTGTGTTTCAATGTTGATTGTTCTGTGTGGATCTTCCTGGGACATAAACAAAAAAATTGTAACCCACAGATTCAATTATAATTTTTTTTAATTTCTGAAAATATTATT